AGTGTGCCTGTGCTCTGTGTCTGCAGTATGCCTGTGCTCTGTGTCTGCGGTGTGTCTGTGCTCTGTGTCTGCAGTGTGTCTGGGCTCTGTGTGTGCAGTGTGTCTGTGCTCTGTGTGTGCAGTGTGTCTGTGCTCTGTGTGTGCAGTGTGTCTGTGCTCTGTGTCTGCAGTGTGTCTGGGCTCTGTGTCTGCAGTGTGCCTGTGCTCTGTGTCTGCAGTGTGCCTGTGCTCTGTGTCTGCAGTGTGTCTGTGCTCTGTGTCTGCAGTGTGTCTGTGCTTTGTGTCTGCAGTGTGTCTCTGCTCTGTGTCTGCAGTGTGTCTGTGCTCTGTGTGTGCAGTGTGTCTGTGCTCTGTGTCTGCAGTGTGTCTGTGCTCTGTGTCTGCAGTGTGCCTCTGCTCTGTGTCTGAAGTGTGCCTGTGCTCTGTGTCTGCAGTGTGTCTGTCCTCTGTGTGTGCAGTGTGTCTGTGCTCTGTGTCTGCAGTGTGTCTGTACTCTGTGTCTGCAGTGTGCCTGTCCTCTGTGTGTGCAGTGTGTCTGTGCTGTGTCTGCAGTGTGTCTGTGCTCTGTGTCTGCAGTGTGTCTGTGCTCTGTGTGTGCAGTGTGTCTGTGCTCTGTGTGTGCAGTGTGTCTGTGCTCTGTGTCTGCAGTGTGTCTGTGCTGTGTCTGTGCTCTGTGTCTGCAGTGTGTCTGTGCTCTGTGTGTGCAGTGTGTGTGTCCTCTGTGTCTGCAGTGTGTCTGTGCTCTGTGTGTGCAGTGTGTCTGTGCTCTGTGTCTGCAGTATGTCTGTGCTCTGTGTCTGCAGTGTGTCTGTGCTGTGTCTGCAGTGTGTCTGTGCTCTGTGTGTGCAGTGTGTCTGTGCTCTGTGTGTGCAGTGTGTCTGTGCTCTGTGTGTGCAGTGTGTCTGTGCTCTGTGTCTGCAGTGTGTCTGTGCTCTGTGTCTGCAGTGTGTCTCTCCTCTGTGTCTGCAGTGTGTCTGTGCTGTGTCTGCAGTGTGTCTGTGCTCTGTGTCTGCAGTGTGTCTGTGCTCTGTGTGTGCAGTGTGTGTGTGCTCTGTGTCTGCAGTGTGTCTGTGCTCTGTGTGTGCAGTGTGTGTGTCCTCTGTGTCTGCAGTGTGTCGGTGCTCTGTGTGTGCAGTGTGTCCGTGCTCTGTGTGTGCAGTGTGTCTGTGCTCTGTGTCTGCGGTGTGTCTGTGCTCTGTGTCTGCAGTGTGCCTGTGCTCTGTGTCTGCAGTTTGTCTGTGCTCTGTGTCTGCGGTGTGTCTGTGCTCTGTGTGTGCAGTGTGTCTGTGCTCTGTGTCTGCAGTATGCCTGTGCTCTGTGTGTGAAGTGTGCCTGTGCTCTGTGTCTGCAGTGTGTCTGTGCTCTGTGTCTGCAGTGTGTCTGTGCTCTGTGTCTGCAGTGTGTCTGTCCTCTGTGTCTGCAGTGTGTCTGTGCTCTGTGTGTGCAGTGTGTCTGTGCTCTGTGTCTGCAGTGTGCCTGTGCTCTGTGTCTGCAGTGTGTCTGTGCTCTGTGTCTGCGGTGTGTCTGTGCTCTGTGTGTGAAGTGTGCCTGTGCTCTGTGTCTGCAGTGTGTCTGTGCTCTGTATCCGCAGTATGCCTGTGCTCTGTGTGTGCAGTGTGTCTGTGCTCTGTGTCTGCAGTATGCCTGTGCTCTGTGTGTGAAGTGTGCCTGTGCTCTGTGTCTGCACTGTGTCTGTGCTCTGTGTCTGCAGTGTGTCTGTGCTCTGTGTCTGCAGTGTGTCTGTCCTCTGTGTCTGCAGTGTGTCTGTGCTCTGTGTGTGCAGTGTGTCTGTGCTCTGTGTCTGCAGTGTGTCTGTGCTCTGTGTCTGCAGTGTGTCTGTACTCTGTGTCTGCAGTGTGCCTGTGCTCTGTGTGTGAAGTGTGCCTGTGCTCTGTGTCTGCAGTGTGTCTGTGCTCTGTGTCTGCAGTATGCCTGTGCTCTGTGTCTGCGGTGTGTCTGTGCTCTGTGTCTGCAGTGTGCCTGTGCTCTGTGTCTGCAGTATGCCTGTGCTCTGTGTCTGCGGTGTGTCTGTGCTCTGTGTCTGCAGTGTGTCTGGGCTCTGTGTGTGCAGTGTGTCTGTGCTCTGTGTGTGCAGTGTGTCTGTGCTCTGTGTGTGCAGTGTGTCTGTGCTCTGTGTCTGCAGTGTGTCTGGGCTCTGTGTCTGCAGTGTGCCTGTGCTCTGTGTCTGCAGTGTGCCTGTGCTCTGTGTCTGCAGTGTGTCTGTGCTCTGTGTCTGCAGTGTGTCTGTGCTCTGTGTCTGCAGTGTGTCTGTGCTCTGTGTCTGCAGTGTGTCTGTGCTCTGTGTGTCCAGTGTGTCTGTGCTCTGTGTCTGCAGTGTGTCTGTGCTCTGTGTCTGCAGTGTGCCTCTGCTCTGTGTCTGAAGTGTGCCTGTGCTCTGTGTCTGCAGTGTGTCTGTCCTCTGTGTGTGCAGTGTGTCTGTGCTCTGTGTCTGCAGTGTGTCTGTACTCTGTGTCTGCAGTGTGCCTGTCCTCTGTGTGTGCAGTGTGTCTGTGCTGTGTCTGCAGTGTGTCTGTGCTCTGTGTCTGCAGTGTGTCTGTGCTCTGTGTGTGCAGTGTGTCTGTGCTCTGTGTGTGCAGTGTGTCTGTGCTCTGTGTCTGCAGTGTGTCTGTGCTGTGTCAGTGCTCTGTGTCTGCAGTGTGTCTGTGCTCTGTGTGTGCAGTGTGTGTGTCCTCTGTGTCTGCAGTGTGTCTGTGCTCTGTGTGTGCAGTGTGTCTGTGCTCTGTGTCTGCAGTATGTCTGTGCTCTGTGTCTGCAGTGTGTCTGTGCTGTGTCTGCAGTGTGTCTGTGCTCTGTGTGTGCAGTGTGTCTGTGCTCTGTGTGTGCAGTGTGTCTGTGCTCTGTGTCTGCAGTGTGTCTGTGCTCTGTGTCTGCAGTGTGTCTCTCCTCTGTGTCTGCAGTGTGTCTGTGCTGTGTCTGCAGTGTGTCTGTGCTCTGTGTCTGCAGTGTGTCTGTGCTCTGTGTGTGCAGTGTGTGTGTGCTCTGTGTCTGCAGTGTGTCTGTGCTCTGTGTGTGCAGTGTGTGTGTCCTCTGTGTCTGCAGTGTGTCTGTGCTCTGTGTGTGCAGTGTGTGTGTGCTCTGTGTCTGCAGTGTGTCTGTGCTCTGTGTGTGCAGTGTGTGTGTCCTCTGTGTCTGCAGTGTGTCGGTGCTCTGTGTGTGCAGTGTGTCCGTGCTCTGTGTGTGCAGTGTGTCTGTGCTCTGTGTCTGGAGTGTGTCTGTGCTCTGTGTCTGCAGTGTGTCTGTGCTCTGTGTCTGCAGTGTGTGTGTGCTCTGTGTCTGCAGTGTGTCTGTGCTCTGTGTCTGCAGCGTGTCTGTGCTCTGTGTCTGCAGTGTGTCTGTGCTCTGTGTCTGCAGCGTGTCTGTGCTCTGTGTCTGCAGTGTGTCTGTGCTCTCTGTCTGCAGCGTGTCTGTGCTCTGTGTCTGCAGTGTGTCTGTGCTCTGTGTCTGCAGTGTGTCTGTGCTCTGTGTCTGCAGTTTGTCTGTCCTCTGTGTCTGCAGTGTGTCTGTGCTCTGTGTGTGCAGTGTGTCTGTGCTCTGTGTCTGCAATGTGTCTGTGCTCTGTGTCTGCAGTGTGTCTGTGCTCTGTGTCTGCAGTGTGCCTGTGCTCTGTGTCTTCAGTGTGTCTGTGCTCTGTGTCTGCAGTGTGTCTGTGCTCTGTGTCTGCAGTGTGTCTGTGCTCTGTGTCTGCAGTGTGTCTGTGCTCTGTGTGTGCAGTGTGTCTGTGCTCTGTGTCTGCAGTGTGCTCTGTGTCTGCAGTGTGTCTGTGCTCTGTGTGTGCAGTGTGTCTGTGCTGTGTCTGCAGTGTGCCTGTGCTCTGTGTCTGCAGTGTGCCTGTGCTCTGTGTCTTCAGTGTGTCTGTGCTCTGTGTCTGGAGTGTGTCTGTGCTGTGTCTGCAGTGTGTGTGTGCTCTGTGTCTGCAGTGTGTGTGTGCTCTGTGTCTGCAGTGTGCCTGTGCTCTGTGTCTGCAGTGTGTCTGTGCTCTGTGTCTGCAGTGTGTCTGTGCTCTGTGTCTGCAGTGTGCCTGTGCTCTGTGTCTGCAGTGTGCCTGTGCTCTGTGTCTGCGGTGTGTCTGTGCTCTGTGTCTGCAGTGTGTCTGTGCTCTGTGTCTGCAGTGTGTCTCTGCTCTGTGTGTGCAGTGTGTCTGTGCTCTGTGTCTGCAGTGTGTCTGTGCTCTGTGTCTGCAGTGTGTCTGTGGTCTGTGTCTGCAGTGTGTCTGTGCTCTGTGTGTGCAGTGTGTCTGTGCTCTGTGTGTGCAGTGTGTCTGTGCTCTGTGTGTGCAGTGTGTCTGTGCTCTGTGTGTGCAGTGTGTCTGTGCTCTGTGTCTGCAGTGTGTCTGTGCTCTGTGTGTGCAGTGTGTCTGTGCTCTGTGTGTGCAGTGTGTCTGTGCTCTGTGTGTGCAGTGTGTCTGTGCTCTGTGTGTGCAGTGTGTCTGTGCTCTGTGTCTGCGGTGTGTCTGTGCTCTGTGTCTGCAGTGTGTCTGTGTTCTGTGTCTGCAGTGTGTCTGTGCTCTGTGTGTGCAGTGTGTCTGTGCTCTGTGTCTGCAGTGTGTCTGTGCTCTGTGTGTGCAGTGTGTCTGTGCTCTGTGTCTGCAGTGTGTCTGTGCTCTGTGTCTGCAGTGTGTCTGTGCTCTGTGTCTGCAGTGTGTCTGTGCTCTGTGTCTGCAGTGTGTCTGTGCTCTGTGTGTGCAGTGTGTCTGCTCTGTGTGTGCAGTGTGTCTGTGCTCTGTGTCTGCAGTGTGTCTGTGCTCTGTGTGTGCAGTGTGTCTGTGCTCTGTGTCTGCAGTGTGTCTGTGCTCTGTGTCTGCAGTGTGTCTGTGCTCTGTGTCTGCAGTGTTCCTCTCTTCTGTGTCTGCAGTGTGCTTGTGCCTGTCTTTTGGACCCACACTTGCGCATTCACTTCTTTCAAGATTAGAGTGCCAGCCCCACACTGCAAAGCAGTGCTGGCAGGTGGTGGTGTTCTGATTTGTGTTCTCTGCATTACAGATTCCATGGATGGAGAGGACTCTGCCTCATCCTCACAGATGCCTAGTTTGTCCTCACAGAAAGTGATACCTGTTCTTGAAAAGTACAGGAAGCGAAGAACGCCTGGTGGAAAGTTCCAGGTGCCCTCAGATCGGGAGTGTCTGCGCAGCCTGGACAGGGCTGGTGGGCCCACCAGCTTGGAGGAAAGTCTCAGAAGACAGGACAGCTCGGAGGTCAAGGTGGCCTTTTCCCGCTCTGACGCTGCTGAGCCTGAAGAGCACACTGCACGTGGTCCTGGTGATGCCATTGGGGTGAGCGGGAAGCAGCTGCTATGGCCGGCCGTTTCCACTGAGTGGCATTGAGTGTAGTGAGGGCTAGATAGCTTGTGATGCCACATCTTCCATTTTCAGTCCAAAATGTGACCACACTGAAAGTCTTGCATGCTGACTCCTATGCTTCTTCCTCTGCTCCATGCTGCTCCCTGCAGTCCTTAAGTGTTCTGTACATTTGTCTTCAACGTTGGAGGCAATCGCTGTGGTCACCTCACTGTGAGGGAAGAGCCCTGGCCGTGAATTTCCCAAAGGACTTACCCCATTAGGGCTTGAGAGTCCTCCTGCCCTCCTCAGGGACCAGGCCCATGGCCCACAAACTCCCCTGCCTCCGAGTGAGTGCCCAGCATCCGTGGGAGGGTGTGAGCCTGAAGAAGGGACGCTCAGAACCAGCCAGCGTGACTCAGAGTTGCAGGGGGAGGGGGGAGGAAGGGGGAGGGGGAGGGGTAGTTTTGCTGAGCCGGAGGGAAAGGGCACCTGGCACAGGTTCTCAGTGAAGTCATTGACTGGAGAGACAGATGCGAGCCCTTGAGCTTGCTCTGCGCATTGTGGGTTGGGTGGTCCTACTACTGTCTATATCCTCTGTCTTCTCCCTTGTGGATGGAGGGGAGGCGGAACTTGGGAGGTCAGGCCCTGTGCTGTCCTGTCATCTTCCTGAGGTCTCCTGGGAGATCCCGAGGCTGGAGATGCTGTTGCTGCTGCTGCTCTGTGGGAAAGCATGCATCTGGGCCCACACTGTGCTGCAGAGACCTAGTTTCTGCCAGGAGGAGAAAGCCAGTCTCATGCTTATGTCTCCTTCATAGCTGTCGCCCAGACCACGCTCTGCAGCCATGCCTGCACGGAGGGCTGCCCTGGAGACCGCGCTCTTAGGGGCACTGCTGGATCTAGTGGACAGATGCTGGAGTGGCAGTGGGTCCCTGCAGATCAATGAGGCGTTCCTCGGTGAGTCTGGGCTGCCTCCACCGGCAGGACCGCCCACCTGCGGCCTTCGGGGTCCCCTGTGTGTGCAGCCCTGCCAGGCTCCGGAGCTGCGGTAAATTGTCTCCACACTGGACCTGGTCCTCTGCGGCTGGAGCTGAGAACACTGCCCGGTGTTGGGCTTTACTTATTCCGTATTTAATTATTCCTGTATTTGGAGTATTGTCTGCTTGAGATCCTCTATGTACATTCGGTGTGTGCAGGCACAGCACAACATGGAATCAGAGTTCTGTGGTAACCAGACAGTCCTAGAAAACTTGGGTCTCTTTTTTTTTGGGGGGGGGGGTCTGGTCGTGGGGCCTGAACTCTGAGCCTGGGCACTGTCCCTCAGCTCTTCAGCTCAAAGCTAGCGCTCTACCACTTGAGCCACAGCGCCACTTCTGGCTTTTTTTTTTCTGCTTATGTGGTGCTGAGGAATCGAACCCAGGGCCTCATGCATGCAAGGCAAGCGCTCTACCACTGAGCCACCTTCCTAGCCCAGAACTTGGGTCTCTTTACTTCCATCTACTGGGGGCTCTTTCAGGAGTCCTCTGACCCCAGGCGGTGGCCTCCTCCTGAGCCTGGGCTGTGGGCCAGACTCTGTAGTTAGCAGACACAGAAACAGGCGGAGCCGCTCCAGACGCCGTGTCGCTGGCTGCCTTGTTGGTTGGTCTCTGTCGTCCCCTTAACCCACGTGTGGCCACGTGCTGCCCGGCTCACTTCAGTGAGGGGGAGGGGAGTAAAAGCCATTTTCCATTCTTCACCATGGCAAGACTGTGTGTGGAAAGGCGGAGGTGATCTCAAGATGCTCTTTCTGTCTCTGCATGTCCTCAGTGCTCTCAGGCCACACAGTGGACATGCTTTATTTATGGTCCATGCTACTGCTGCATTGCTCTTAACGATGCCCCTTTTTTGCTTTTAGCCCAGGCAAAGCACATTTTGTCATCTGTCCCAGCGGCGCAGGACAGTGTAGCACTCGAGTCTGAAGGAATTAGCTATCTGGCCCTTGAAAATAAGTCCCTGCAAAGCCTCCTTGCGGAGCAGCAGCGGCAGTGCACCACCATGATGAGTGAGGTGACGGCGGAGCTCAGCAAGGCCCGGAAAGAGATGGTGAGCTGCACTCTAGCGCCATGGCCAGCTCTTCACGGGGCGGGGGCCGGCGGGGCCTCGGATGCCACACTGTCCCAGAGCCACCTTGACAGCCATGTCTTTTGTGCAGCTCCTCTAGGACCTTGAAGCCCCCTCTCCTTGCTGTGTTGTATGCCCATTCTCCATGGACATGGTGAGCTGGACGGCAGTACCTCTAGCCCTCTGCCTACTGCCTCTCGTAGGAGAGATGAGAGAGGAAGAGGTGGCCCAGCTCTAGGCAGAGTCTTGCGTTCCCACTGGCCCTTGGTGGAGACTCCCAAGTCCTGATGAGTGAGATTCCAGTTATCTGGGGTGCGTAGGGTTCCTACCCTTGTCTTGTACCCAGTTTGAATCTGAGAGACTCTTGTACCACCAGATGGCACACAAGAGCAGAGTCCATACTTGGACTTGGCAACCAACTTCTCCCTTACGAGGTTGTGTTATGTGGATGATATTGGGATGATGTTCTTCCTTCTGAGCCCACACGAATGGTTACATGACAGGTGGCCAGACACACCTGTGGTTGCTTCTCTGCCAGGCCTCACCTTACCGCACAGTGTGCACTGCGTTAGCACACCATCCCCAGCTTTACAGTGGACCTAGCAGAGCTGGGCTGTTCAGGGATGGTGACCTCATCCGAGGACCTGGTGGGTGGGGATGGATCCTCTTCCAGCAGGCCCTCTGCACAGGAAATGGAGGCCGAAGTGTTGGTCACTTCTGCCTCTGTGCATTGGCTAACCCTTCAGGGTGAGCATGTGAGCGCATGTGCACCAGGAGGGGCTGTTGGAACACTGTGACCTCAGGACCAGTGCATGAAAGCACCACAGAATGAAAGTTGTTAGGTTTTCTGACAAGGTCTTTGTTTTGTGAGATTTCATACACATCTCATTTTTAGAGAAAAATGGAAGTGGAGTGATATCTAACATACTGTGAAATCTTCTACATGCACACAGGACTCCATGTAGAAAGAGCAAGAGCACACGTAAGCCTGGACCGCAGCACTGGAGGGCACAGTGTGGGACAGTGTTAGTCTGGGGGACACAACCTGGCCCATTGACCAGAAGACAGCAGGTGATACCTGATGTCTCAGTGCAGACGTGGAGGCCACTTGGGGCCTCAGCCAGAGCTTAGAGACCAACCTGTACTGCTGTCCCATGACAGTGATGCGCAGCCAGAGCTCAGACCAACCTGTACTGCTGTCCCATGACAGTGATGCGCAGCCAGAGCTCAGACCAACCTGTACTGCTGTCCCATGACAGTGATGCGCAGCCAGAGCTCAGACCAACCTGTACTGCTGTCCCATGACAGTGATGCGCAGCCAGAGCTCAGACCAACCTGTACTGCTGTCCCATGACAGTGATGCGCAGCCAGAGCTCAGACCAACCTGTACTGCTGTCCCATGACAGTGATGCGCAGCCAGAGCTCAGACCAACCTGTACTGCTGTCCCATGACAGTGATGCGCAGCCAGAGCTCAGACCAACCTGTACTGCTGTCCCATGACAGTGATGCGCAGCCAGAGCTCAGACCAACCTGTACTGCTGTCCCATGACAGTGATGCGCAGCCAGAGCTCAGACCAACCTGTACTGCTGTCCCATGACAGTGATGCGCAGCCAGAGCTCAGACCAACCTGTACTGCTGCCCCATGACAGTGATGTGCAGCCATAGCTTAGAGACCAACCTGTACTGCTGTCCCATGACAGTGATGCGCAGCCAGAGCTCAGACCAACCTGTACTGCTGTCCCATGACAGTGATGCGCAGCCATAGCTTAGAGACCAACCTGTACTGCTGTCCCATGACAGTGATGTGCAGCCATAGCTTAGAGACCAACCTGTACTGCTGTCCCATGACAGTGATGCGCAGTCATAGCTTAGACCAACCTGTACTGCTGTCCCATGACAGTGATGCGCAGCCAGAGCTTAGACCAACCTGTACTGCTGTCCCATGACAGTGATGCGCAGCCAGAGCTCAGACCAACCTGTACTGCTGTCCCATGACAGTGATGCGTAGGGGCACGGCCATCATAGGTCCTGTTCCCTTACCTCCGTGCCGTTCCCTGCCTCTCTTCTCCAGGTCCACCCCTGGATGTCCCAGCCCTGGGAGGGAGAGGTGGCCAGCAGCTCACATGGTAGGGCCACCTTTAAGGAACCTGGGCGCAGGAGGGAAGTGCTATGTGGACCAGTAGCTGCTGCCTTCCAGGGAGACCAGCACTAAGCCCAAGCACTGACCGAGTCTGTGTATCCCATGTCATTCCTGTAGCAGCCAGAGTCGGGAACAGCATGTCCTGGGTGCAGCTCTGAGGCAGACACATCTCTCCACCCTGAGTGTGTTCGGCCCTCTGCTTTGTTTACTCACCGTAGCCTGGACTGAGAGAGTGCTATCTGCTTCCCAAGCCCAGCACCCTGGGGAGAGCCTGCGGGTGAGCCTTGTGGCAGGAGGCGCTTGGAAAGGGTTTGAAAGAGGAGGGGTCTTGGGTCCACCAACACACCCAAGAGGAGATGTCAGCCCAGTGGGCACACACATGCTAGTAGTGGCTTGTTGCACTGCTGTCCTGGGCTTGAGTCTCAGTGAGAAGCAAACGCTGACCCCTGGAGGAGGTGAGATGAGGCCGGCCCCAGCCCTGGGAGAGCCTGCGGTTCCTGTGGGAAGGAGCCGCGGGCTTCAAGTTGTTGGAGCCCTGGCTCCAGCTGCACAGACTCAGTGTGTCAACCTGTTATGACTCACAGTGCCTTGGCCAAGGCTAATAACATTGCTGGCTCGGATGACGGCCAGGCTTCCAGACGCACCTCTACAGCACCCTAGTATATGCTTGTCATTTTCTCCTACAAAGAAGCCCAGGCCTTGGTTCCCACCCATAATGAGTGGTGGCTGATAGAAACAAAAGAGAGGTCCCAGGGGAGGCTGCCAGCACCACAGGGTAGCAGAGAGGCCCTGGGACCTCCAATAGCCACAGCCACAGCCTTGGGGGAAGGGAGATGGTCAGCTTCCGCCAGCTGCCCTCCAGCGTGGGCCTGGGCTCCGTGGTGAGCTCGGTGGGGTGCTGGAGACCTCTCTCTTCACCTCTCCCCTTTCCCAGAGGTGACTCCATACCACTCAGAACTGGATGGAGGGCAAATGTACTTTCTCTCTACCTTGTGATCTGAAATTATGGAAGAGAACCTGAACCTAGTGATTATTCAGACATTTTGTTTTGTTTGTGTCTTACTGACTGGTCTCATTATACTCTCTATGTCTTCAGGATAACTTGAGGCAACATTTAGACAAGTCTTTGGAGGAAAATAGCAGCTTAAAATCTCTTCTGTTCAGCATGAAAAAAGAAGTAAAAAATGCAGATACTTCTGCTGCGCTACATTTGCAGATCACTGGTGAGTTCACCGTTTATTTGGTAATCACTTGGTGAAATACAAGTGCTCAAATGTAAAAAGGTAGACTTTAGTCTTAGTCATTTTCTGCCAGTTGAAGTAGTGTAAGGTCAGCTAGCCAGAGCAGGTGGACAGAAGAAGATGCATCCTGTTGCCTTTGATTCTTTAGCCGAATTTGGACCTTTCACCCTGTGGCTCTTGAATTTAATAATGCACTGGTGGTGTTTCTGCCTCCTGAGCAAGAAGGTGACTTGAAGTCTGTTTTCTGGCTCTGTTTGTTCCAGGTACAAATAATTTTTATTTACCTCTTTTTCTGTCTCTGGTTCCACTTGTTCTATTTTAGAGAAGTCAAGTGTTTGCATGGCAACCTACCTAGGAGGTTGTAGTCTATATTTTGGGAGGGTGAACTTCCCAGCAGTCTCTCCTCTTGTCCTGGGAGAAATTGAAGGGCCAGGAAGTAAGCACCTCAGAGTCGATGGCCTTCCCATGATGTGTCTGCCTCTTTGTGGTCCCTGCAACATAAAAGGACTACAGGCAAGCCCCAAGTGTCAGTCAATGACAAGCCCTTTGCCATTTATTGAATAAGAAGACATTTTTATAGTCTTTTCTTTTAAGAGTTGTCTTTATCCTCTTTTTACCTTGTTTCTATGACGTATTAGGTTTTGTTTTGTTCTGTTTTTCCCTGAGGTTTCTTCTAGCCTGGTTATTTCCAATGTGACTGTTTCCTTTGTTGCTGATTCTGCTTGAGTTACCTAACATTTTTGGTTGGAGCTCAGGATGTTCTTTATTTCTTGTGTCCTATTTTCTTTATAGTCTTGTGTATATTTTCTATTAGTCCCTGCTTGTTTTGTGATGTTGGGTGGACGTTCATGTTTACCCCTATCTTTGAGTCTGTTATAGAAATGAGTGTTCTGTTATATATTCTTATATCTAGCTTATACTAGAATTGTCAAGACATGTGCATGAGCTTCCTTATATAATTCTGCCACATTTCTTCTTTCAGGACTTCAAACAAGTGTGAAGCAACTCTCTGGTGAGGTTGTAGAGCTGAAGCAGCATCTAGAGCACTATGATAGGATCCAGGAGCTCACGCAGATGCTGCAGGAGAGCCACAGGTACTTGTGTGAGCCAGGCAAGGGAGGAGAGGAGGGGGAGAGGCCGAGTGGTAGGGAAGGTAGATCCCGTGTGGCAACACCGCAGAAGCACAAAGAGCAGCTGACTGTGCGTCACAGCAGTCAGTGTCCAGGGTCCACACATAGCACCATGCTGACTTGGAGTGTCTGTTGGTAAAAAGTGAGGCTCTTCCTGCTGCCACGTTTTGTGATCTTGGTGGTAATGTTGAAGTATTGACCTGGAAATGTAGATTTGGACCCTGAGGAGTGGATTCTGAGGTGTGGACCTTGACCTGTGAGCCCTGAGGTGTGGACCCTGAAGAGTGGACCCTGAGGTGTGGACCCTGAGATGAGAACTCAGAGCTGTGGACCCTAAGGTACAGACTCTGAGGTGTGAACCTGAGGTGAGAACTGTGAGGTGTGAACTCTGAAGTGTGAACTCTGAGGTGTGGACCCTGAGATGAGAACTCAGAGCTGTGGACCCTAAGGTACAGACTCTGAGGTGTGAACCTGAGGTGAGAACTGTGAGGTGTGAACTCTGAAGTGTGAACTCTGAGGTGTGGACCCTGAGATGAGAACTCAGAGCTGTGGACCCTAAGGTACAGACTGAGGTGTGAACCTGAGGTGAGAACTCTGAGGTGTGAACTCTGAGGTGAGAACTCTGAGGTGTGAACTCTGAGGTGTGGACTCTGAGGTGAGAACTCTGAGGTGAGAACTCTGAGGTGTGAACTCTGAGGTGAGAACTCTGAGGTGTACACTCTGAGGTGTGGACTCTGAAGTGTGAACTCTGAGGTGAGAACTCTGAGGTGAGAACTCTGAGGTGTGAACTCTGAGGTGAGAACTCTGAGGTGTGAACTCTGAGGTGAGAACTGTGAGGTGTGGACTCTGAGGTGTGAACTCTGAGGTGTGAACTCTGAGGTGTGAACTCTGAGGTGTGAACTCTGAGGTGTGAACTCTGAGGTGTACACTCTGAGGTGAGAACTCTGAGGTGAGAACTCTGAGGTGAGAACTCTGAGGTGAGAACTCTGAGGTGTACACTCTGAGGTGTGGACTCTGAGGTGTGGACTCTGAGGTGAGAACTCTGAGGTGAGAACTCTGAGGTGTGCACTCTGAGGTGTGGACTCTGAGGTGAGAACTCTGAGGTGAGAACTCTGAGGTGTGAACTCTGAGGTGTGCACTCTGAGGTGTGGACTCTGAGGTGAGAACTCTGAGGTGAGAACTCTGAGGTGAGAACTCTGAGGTGTGGACTCTGAGGTGTGAACTCTGAGGTGTGCACTCTGAGGTGTGCACTCTGAGGTGAGAACTCTGAGGTGAGAACTCTGAGGTGTGCACTCTGAGGTGAGAACTCTGAGGTGAGAACTCTGAGGTGAGAACTCTGAGGTGAGAACTGTGAGGTGTGCACTCTGAGGTGTGCACTCTGAGATGTGCACTCTGAGGTGACAACTCTGAGGTGAGAACTGTGAGGTGAGAACTCTGAGGTATAGACTCTGAGGTGTGAACTCTGAGGTGTGGACGCTGAGGAGGAGACTCGATGTGGTTTGGGAGAATGACAGGAGAATCTAGCAGTATGAGAGGCGCGTAGGAATGCAGAATGTGTGGTGTCCTGCTTCCCGGGCCTTAGTTCCTGTGAATTGTAGTTTTATCCTAATGTAGTTCGTGGCTGTTTGAGTTTTATGGCTGTTTTTAAGTTTGGGAGATTCCATCTTTCTTCCCTGATAGGGAGCAGGTGGCAAGAAAGGGACTGGAAGTTTCAGGTAGGCTCAAGCAGAGCCTTGGCTTTATGAAGAGATGCCTGTGAAGAAGCTAGGGCAGGCTAGGTGCAAAGAGAGACTTGGCCCTAGGAAGGATGGGAGCTGCCGAGTGGTGAGGACTTGGGAACCGCAGACCATTGCTGCCCCCTCCCCTGTGCCTGGCAGGAGCCTGCAGGCCACCCTCGCCAGCCAAGGTCAGGCTGGCAGTCCTGTCCCCCAGAGCCCTGGCCCAGGCGTGGGCAGGCAGAGCTCATGATCTCCTACATGTCCTGTGATCAGGCTTTTGCCCCTGGAGTCCATGTTGACTTTGTCCATCGCTATCTCTGATCCAAGCAAATAGCCAGTACCTGCTTAGTAGATGGGTCAATGGGTGACCACCTTTGTGGTGAACAGCAGTGGTCAGTGTGGCTCTGCCTTGTCTAAATGTGTGATGCCATAAAACACGTGACTGGAAAGCCAGGCACCGTGGCTCACGCCTGTAATCCTAGCTACTCAGGAGGCTGAAATCTGAGGATTGTGGTTTGAAGTCAGACCAGGCAGGAAACTCCTTGAGACTCTTATCTCCAGTGAACCACCAGAAAACCAGAAGTGGCACTGTGGCTCAGTGGTAAAGCACTAGCCTTGAGCTGAAGAGCTGAGGGACAGCGCCCAGGCCCAGAGTTCAAGCCCCATGACTGACCAAAAAAAGAAGAAATAACCCCTGCATGGCTGAGGAGCATGACAATGTGGAGATGGAAAGTGGGGAAAGTTCACAAGGGCCTCTGAAGCCATCACCACATCAGAAATATTGGTTGCCATCCTGTCGGAGTGTGTGTGGCGGTGTCGACGCCGTACACCTCTCATGCCTTTCTTCAGCCCCTTCGCTCGCCTGGCTGCCAGGGCTCAGGGCCAGGTCAGGCCTAACTGCTGCCTTGGTTTGGAAGAATTGGGCGCAGGAGCAGTGGTCAGTGGGTGGTGGGGCTGGCTAGGGTGGGGCGCAGGGGCGGCTTTGTGCCAGTGGTCTGGGAGCTGAGTGAGAGGGGTGAGGGGCAGAGCTGCCAGGGGGCGGCAGCAGGCTGGGGAGGGGTGGGGACACCATGGCTGCCCCTTCTGTCACCCTCCAGCTCTCTGGTCAGCACCAACGAGCACCTCCTGCAGGAACTGAGTCTCGCCCGGGTGCAGCACAGGGCAGAGGTAGAGCAGATGCACTGGAGCTTCCAGGAGTTCAAGAAGACCACAGCCCTGTTCCCACCCCACAGTGCTCATCTTGGTGGCCGCCAGTCCTGCTAACGCCTGCCCAGAGTCCAGTTGTCCTCTTTGTGGTACAGCCACAGGCTTGTACGTCAGTGTTTCTTTATCTGAACACGCTAGGGAGATTTGTCTCCTTCCCTTGGAATCACCTGATAATTTTCAGATGCATTCAGGCCCTACAGTTGAGCATTCTAATGCACCCTGAAGTGACAGTGAGCCTGGCCCTTCCTGTGCTTGGTCGGACTACCGCTTTGTCACTACACACTCTGGCGTGAAGTTCAGGTGGGGTTTTTATCTGGGATGTGAAAGTACTGCATAAGATTAGTAAAATAATTTCAGTGTGACAAGCAATCCTCCTTTAATTGGCTAATACATTGTCACTAAAGGTTAATTTTGTAAATAGTTCTTTATAACTTATAACTGATTTTCTTATTGAATTCCATTATGAAACAACCTATGTACCATGGTAGGTGGGCAGGAATTAAAAAGTGGTAAAACTGAGTAGGAGTTACAGTGACATATGTGGAACACATTTTAAAAGTTCGAACTGTGATGTTAATGTTTCATAGTAAAAATATAACCCCATTCATGCCTCATCCTTTAGTTTCCAGTGTCTTTCTGAAAATCATAGCAAAATAGATTATAAAACTTGGGAAATTCACTTCATATATATCCCTTGCTATGAGAGGTAAGACACGTAGTTTTTCTCCTTTTTTTTCCTTTGGTCTGAGGCCAGGACTTGAAGTCCATACCTGATGCTGATGCTTTTTGGCTAGCACTCTACCAAGTGGCCACCATACTTCAATCCCATTTTTTTTTCATTGGTATCAACTATATAGAAGGAGGTTTCATTTTTTACATCTCTATCCATAAAAAAAAATGTTTAATTGTTTAGCAAGAATAATCAGGCCTGTGAAGAAAATGGTGTGTGCTGGCCCGTTGAAGTGTTAAATCCTTCCATAGAGGCGCAGGGTGGGACTGCCTGTCTCCTCGGGCTGTCCTTCCCTGTCCTCTCCCTGTCTGGTCACGGTTGTGACTCTCACAGACAGAGTGTTTGCGGAGTGGGGAGCCTTCACCAGACCCTTATTCATTTCAGTGGAGTAAGAGATTGCGGTATTCATCTTTTTGTTCCCAGAAAAGGATCACAATGCGTTTATTTTGGTTGGGTTTCAAATTGAGTCACTTAGACCTGGGAATTCATAGTTTCCATTAGATTTGGAAGATCTGGCTGTCATTTCTTTGAATTTTTTTTCTCTCTCTTCCTCCTTCCATCTCCTCTACTTCTTCTCCTCTCTCCTCCTGGGTCTCCAGGGACACTATAAGTCCCACAGGTCACTAAGCCCATTTCTTTGGTTCTCTGGGTTTCACTGGCCTGTTGCAGAATTCTTGAGCTTGTCTCCCATATGCTTCATCTGACAGAAGCATATGTAGCAAATTTCTTATTATCAGTGCCTATATGTTGATCAGCACTTAGATTTTTCTAAAATTCCACTTAATTTTTTCTTTCTCATTATGAAAGATTTTTCTCCTATTATGTTCATGTTGAGTTTTTTTGTTAGCTCTATAAGCATATTTGTGATAGCTTTTCTAAGGAACCCCCACTGTTTCCAGACCGCCCTCTCTACTGACACTACCACAAGTAGCAAGCAAGTAGTGTGTAAACATCCAAGGTCTGTGTTCTCCATACTTCTGATGTCTTCATTGTAGAAGGTTTAAGGTGGTGTTTTTCCTGGTGGTGTTAGTTTGTCTCTTTCTTAGTGAGTATTTTTTTCATGTGCTTCTTGCTGACTTGGGTTCACTTTGTGGAGTGTCTGTCTCTGTCTTTCCCTGGTGTTCTATTAGTTTATTTGCAGGAGTTATTTATAGGCCAAACATACTTAGTCCAGAAATGCAGTAACTTTTTCATACAGAAATTTTTTTTAGCATCATATCGGTACTAAGAAAAGGACACTCAATTCTACGTGCCACTGGCTCACACCTGTAATCCTACTATGCAGGAGGCCAATATCTGAAGATCACAGTCCAAAGCCACTTTGGCTGTGAGACTCTTATCTCCAGTGAACCACCAAGAACCAAAAAGCCAGAACTGGAGTTGTAGCTCAAGTGATAGGGAAAAAAAAGAAGTCCCACTCATTCTGGGTGTGCAGCTCAGTACTGGACACTTGCTTAGTCTGCATGAGGCCCAGAGCTCCATCCTCACGGCATTAACAAGAAAAGGGACATTAAGATGTTTTAATATATTTGTAAATATTCCAAAATAAGGAAAGTATCTGCAATCTGGAACATGTCTGGTCCAGTGTTTCGGCTAGGAACACAGCAGGAGCTGAGCAGCAGGCTCATGTGCACATGTGCATAGCTACTTCCTTTATTTTCACTTTTTGGGGGAGGACAGTACTGAGGTTTGAACTAAGGACTTCACGTGTGTATGGGCAGAGCATGCTAGAGGCCTCCAGCCCTTTGTACTTTTTAATAGTGTTTCTTAATAGAAATTTCAAATTTTAATATGCTCTAATATATCAATCTTTTTTTATGAATCTTGCCCTTTTGTAGTAATTTTGATATTGAAAAACATATATTTGATCTTTTTAGGGACTGACATACAACCCCTTGAGGGATAGTGTCTTGTTTGTGTTATGTGTTGACTGCTGGCTCCCCAGGTAGCTTAAAGTTGTATCTGGCCACGGGAAAGGCTTGGGCGGGATCTAAGAGTTCAGCCCCACTCCCCACCCCCAACTTCAGGTCCCAATGGGTTAAATTGGTCACTAGTGACTAAGTGTTGTAATCTGTCATGCTTATGTAGTGAAGCTTCCTGAAGGCTCAGATTGCTTCTGGAGAGGTACTTGGAGGGAGGGGCCTCCCACCCCTCTCCTCCTTCTTTCCCCTGTGTCCTTTGTAATGTATAGTGGGCTGCTAAGCAAGGTAATCAACCTCAAAAAGAGCCAGGTGGTCAGAAACCCAGGAGAAAACAGCCGGCCTGCCATTGCCATCTGAAGGTTGTAGCAGGTGTGTTGGCAAGGACTGCACCCTCAGCAAGCAGTGGTGTCCAGTGCCAGCTGCAGGTGGGCAGGGTCAGAAGGGGGTTGAGTCACAAGAGACCTGACAGCAGACCCTCTTGCTTCCTGGTCGGGAGGGTAAGGTGACGGGAGTCTGTGTTGAAGGTTGAGTGGAAGCATAAGAGAAATTGAGTTTGTTACTTCATGAAGTCTTGACGATCTGCTGGATTGTCTTCCAAAAGGCTCTGTGCTCTTATGTATTAGGAATTTGAGGTCTGTATTCTACCTAGAGTGAATTTTGGGGCATGCTTGAGTTCCAGCTGTCCCGTCCCAATCACTGAAAAGACTCGTACGTCTCCACTTTGGCTGTCTTCTCTCTGTGATACTCTCTCTAAGGTAGACCCTCCCATATTCATGTCTGCCTGGCTTTTTACTCTGTGCATTTCACAAATTCACTGAATCACAATTTTTTTTGAATAAGGACAATGTCTGACACGTAGTAAGCACTACACACTCACTTGCGTTATAACAGTAATTTCTCCTTGCTTCATGGGTGATGGTGGCTTATAATTCCTTTATCCTGTTTTTGGGGGATCATAGAATGGAATGGGCCATACATTCCTCTCTTGTTTGTTCCCAGGAGAGTTTGCTGAGATAAGAATCACTTCACCTCTGGAAGATGATGTCATTTGTGCCTGGAATGTTATCAGGGTTTTTGATAATGTTTATTTTAGAATATGGCAGAGACTTTTGTCAAGACCGCCCAGTCTCCCCTCAGCTGGGCTGAGCCATTGGGGGCTGCCCAAAGCAGTGTGGGAAGAGTGGGGGTGTTCCCTGTCAGGGCCGGCCAGAGAGATTCTGACTGTTGCTCTCTCCCAGAGGAAGGCCAGAACGCCAGGTGCACTGTCTGTCCGGACAGCCACTGAGGTAGCAGCTCCTCCTTTACTACCTGGTGTGTCTGCTTGTTTGTATATCATGGGCCTCTTAAGACCTGGTCCAGATGGCCCTCATTTTCAGGTTTGGGGATAGCCCTCACCCTCTTCTGGTGGCATTGTTATGGGCCCCTCCTTTGAAGTTGTGTTCTGGTGCAGAGAGGTGGGGACATAGGTTTCTCCTTCACTGTCCAGGTGAGGAGACAGCTTCTGTCTACTGTGCCTCCATTTTCCAGCCTCCGATGTGCTCCCCTGAGTGCCCTGGCCATTGTCCATGTGGACAGGGCTCTGCCCTGGCCTTCCTGCCCATACCACGCCCCTCTAAGTCAGTCCCTGGAGCACCCTGAAGGGCCGCCTCCAGAGAGCAGGCGTCTCTGCTCTCCCTCCTGGGTCTTCAAGAGCCCCGCTTGCCAGCTGGCCTCTACAAAACTACTCCCATCTGCTCCCAGAACCCCTAGTTCCAAACCCCTGCAGTTCAACAGTAGCTTCTGGAGCTTCCTACCTTTATAGCTCAGTTTCACTAAAGTTTGATGAGTTAATTAGGCCTTTCAAAAAAGCAACCTCTGGAAGGGGGGACCAAGATGGTGACAGGGCAGTAGGGAAACACCTCAGCTCTCCCCAACCAAAAAGAGGGGTCGAGTTCCAATGCTTAATCTCCCCAAGATACTGACAGCAACAAAAAGATAAACACCCAGAGAAAAACAGAAGGTGGAAAATAACAAAAAATAGAGAAAAAGAAGAATTTCAGAACAGAGAAGCGCAAAGACCCCTCCCCCAACCTTTACTGGCTGCACAGCAGCAGCCAAGCCCCGGCCAGCGGCCCAGTAGGGGCTGCCCGAGTCCCAGATTCACAGGGGGCTGCCTGCAGATCACCCGTGCAGATGAGGTACCGGTGTCATACCCACTGATCGCGATGAATGGAGAAATCTCCGAGCTTGGAACTTGGCCCCACAATGGGAGCCCCAGAGCTACACGGGACACCCAAAGAACACCAGAGCAGAAGACCTTCAAGGAACTGGTGCTGATCCAGAGAGCGCAAACGGAGACAAGCCCCAGTGCTCAGAACCTGCACGGAGGCCCCGCCCCCACCTCTCGGGCAGATGCTGGAGGCCCATCTCGCAGTGCGACCCGACAGCTTCGACTGAGGCAGAGATAGAAGAGAATCACACAGAGCCACCACGGCCCAGCCCAGCCTGCAACCACCCCAACTGAACTCTGATTGCAACGGCAACCGATGATCTACATCACACAGAAACAACTAGCTTCAGGGTGAGTACCCCGCAGGGGACAGTGTATCCCTCAAGGGAGACCAGAGCTGGTAGGAATCCCCAGACCCTGACCCAGACTCCCTACCCCAACTCCTGGACCACAGGACCCATTAAACTGGGAACTGTTCGAGAGCTCCACCAGCCCGCAGAGCACACTCAGCTGGCCAGGCTAGCGCAAAAGCGCCCCTGGAAGGGAGCTTAAATACCCAAGCCAGGAATAGCGCCCCTGGGTCAAGACACCCAACAGTAGAAGAAATTTGAACTGTGTGCCCCAGGCTGCATAACCTAGGTGGTATACACAGCAGCACAGGCCCAACCGGCATGCCCCAGGTGGGGGGCCAGGACCAGGCCTGGGGATCCGGCGCCTGAGCAACACAACCAACTCCTCCCAACTGA